GGGCAGATGTGATTTTTTTATATAAATCGCCAATTGTAATGCATCTCTTCTCACGTTTCGAAGCAGATGTTTTGGCCTATTTGCTCCTTATGACAGTATTGCGTTTTCTACTTGTTTCAATCCACTGCGTTTTCAATCGGAGAAGTCCATCAAAATTAGGTGGAGGCTAGTTTCGTTCTATTTCTCAGAGTGCGAACGTTAACAACAGTAGGAGTGGTCGTAAAGGAGAGGTCGTTCGAGAATTTCGACGCATTCTCTTGTGTTTTGTTCGTCAATTCATAAAGTGATTTAGTCATGCTGCTATCTGAAAGGTGCTCTGGAATTTAGTGGTTCGATATGTGTGCTGTCTTGCACAACCGCTCGATAGTTTTCTCTTTATCAGACCGGATGATGAAGGTCTTTTTCCCCAGTATTTTAAATTTTTACCCGTTCAGATTTCCCTGTCTTGTATGTGAAAGTGAATTTTTTTTGCCTGATACCCTTTAGAGAAAACCTATCACTTGTATGCAAGCTCGGTGATAGGCCAGCTGAAGGTCGTGCTTATGGCAACCTTGGCAATACACATTATCTTCTGGGAAATTTTCGGGAGTCTGTCGACTTTCACAAGAAGGTGGGTCGTCCTCTCTTCTATTATTTGTTTCATTTCATTTGAAACCATCTTTGAAAAAGTGTACTTTCCCCTCTAGCAGAGGTCCTCTCCAGTCACCGGTATGCGCAGCCTAATATAATCCCAACAAATCCCCCCCCCCAGCCGTGTGGGATTTGACATTTGTGGCATTTGTTTTTCTTTCAGCGTCTGCAAATAGCCAAGGAGTTTGGTGATCTACGCGCTCAAAGACGTGCCTATAGTAACCTTGGCAACGCCTACATCTTTCTGGCTGACTTTACTTCAGCGGCCCGGAGCTACAAGTGAGTGGACCTATTCTATCTCATAAATTATACTTACTTACAAACTTGTTAGTAAAAAGTATATTATCTCTTTTCAGGCATGCACTGGGGATAGCCCGTCAATTGGGCGATGAGGCACTGCAAGCGCAGGCTTGTTTCAGCCTCGGACACAGTTGTACGCTGCTGAGGGACTACTCGGCTGCTGTGGTGTACTACCTGCGGCACCTCCACGTGGCCTGGGAAGCAGGGGATAGGGTGGGTCAGGGCCGGTGCCATTGGTCTCTGGCCAATGTTTATGCGGCGTTAGGTGACTATCGACGGGCTTTGCGGAGTTCTATGCGGCATCAGAAAATCTCCAAGGAGGTGGGGCTTAACTATTTTAACGTATTATTGCTGTACTTAAAGCGGTTGGATATCCTCAAATGTAAGAAAATATTTTTATAAATGTAGCTTAACGACGAGATTGGCCTGCTAGCCGCCGATCTAATGATCGCCGAACTGCATCAAATTCTCGGACACAGCCAGCCTGACCCTCGGCTCGAAGAAACTCCACCTTCCTCCCCATCTGCCGTCACCACCACTTCTCCCCACCTCCAAGCCGCCGCTGAGGCGCGTGCTCTTGAACAGGTTCTCTTTGACGCTGACAGTTGTGTCTCCCCTTCCACTGCAGTTACCATCGCTACCACTAATCCTTATGTCGAGTCGCCGTCTCCGACAGTCGTGGAGGTGGCAAAGGAGGAGGTGGAGGAGCTGAGCGAAAAAGAATTAGTCACGGAGCTGTCCCTCGCAACTAATGCGGCTTTGGCAGTCCAACGCAGGCATGGAAGCGGCAGTGGTAGCAGTGCTGGAAGAGGAGGAGGCGAGGGCGAGTTTTTGTCATTGAGTGAGGAGGAAGAGGAGGACTTTGTGGTTGTAGTTTCACCTACTGAGACGGAAAGCAGCGGTGAACATCATCGATCTGGTGGGGATTGTGAGTTGAGAGTCACGTCTGCTCAATTTTTATCAGTAAAATGTTGCACATGTTAAGTACATCCTACCAATTTGAAGTGATTTTAATTATCCCAAACGCTAGAATGGACCGAAACTATTATTTATGCTTAAGTACCTCGTAAAACTGCTTACGATATATTATATCCAATGCATCTATCTCCATAAAGTCGATCTAATATGATTCTGTAGTCTTGATTATGAAAACAGCATCTTCTTGTTCATGCGTCAATCTTATTTTACGTGGGTCGAGATTTGTGGAGATTTTCTTCCTAAATATCGCCTCACCTTTTTTTGTTGTTTTTAAAACCCCTTAGAGACCCTCCAAAGTGGTCATAAATTGCCGTTTGATTTTGTGTGCAAAAGCTTTATTTGTAGAAGAAACGCCTTAAGCCTTATCCCTTGTAAGTTTCTCTACCAAATCTCCATCTGTCATGCTGTTAAGGGTTTCATCTTGACATATCGGGACTCTCGGATCGAAATAAGCAACAACCCACTTTGTGTAAACAAACCACCTATTTTTAGTGACCCACTGTCTTGTGTATCTTCTGGATACTGTAATCAGAATATTCGCTTTTCCAGCGGTCGGCGAGGCTCTGCACCAGGCGACGAACCAATCAAACCACGGCGCGGACCAATCCGATTCAAGCGAACTGCTATTCGACCTGCTCTTCAAATCGCAGGCCCTGAGGATGAACGATCAGCGTTGCGATTTGAACGCTCTTGCCGGCAGCAACGTTATAAACAACAATAACAGCAGTAGCGGTGGAGGCAATATTGGTAGTGATGGTAACAGTATGCTGGCAGCGTCAAGTGATTCTCTGAATGCGGAAAATGACTCGTTTTTGGATCTCCTTATTAATATACAGGTTAGTCACGCATTTATTTTGTGTAAAAACGGTAGTTACGACGCGTTTTTTTTTTCACTGAATTGAATTTGACCTTATTTTAAACACAGTGTTAATTTGAAGTACTGCGACCTCGGGGTCGGTGGTGGATTCCTTTTTGTGCACCGTTTGGTCACCAGTGCCTGACAAATCGACTGCCCTTAGGGTTCAGTACGAGTTGTCACTCCCCACGGTTGCCATGACAATCAAACGCCATTTGCATCCAAAGATCAAGGAACTGTGTTTTCTCTGATACGGGGTACCGTAACCAGATGTGAACGTGTACCCAACTGTCGTACCTGGATGGCCATGAGGGATGCAGGAGGGGTACTGGAAGGGTGATAGATCAAGCAGAACGATGGTTGATTTGGTGACAGGAAAACTGAATGTGTGCCTCGTGATCACCCAAGCGTACGTGTCAGGTGGGTGTCTGGGTGACTAGTTGTGGTAGAGCTTAAGCGCTACCCTTGAGACAACCATACGGCCTCCTGGCTGTTTGTGGTTTAGAGGGTGGTAACCAGGAGCACTTTCACGTGATTTGTCTTGAAATAAATTGAGATTACATACAAATGTGGAGCCTTTCATAGTCAACAAGATTATGTACAATAGGATCTGGCCTATTGGCTTGTGGCGACTTGTCTATGACACTTGAAATGGAAATGAAGGGTGCGTGCATAATCAGTGGGAATGTATCTCAGCCTTAGTGAATTACGTGCGGCCATTTCGTGTCACCTCATTAAACTGTGGCATGACCCGCAGTCGTATTTAGATTGCAGTGAACTGATTTCTTCATTCTGATTGCATCCCTGTGTCACGACTAATTCTTCAACCGATGTGTCAGTGAAAGCTTCTGCTTAAAGCTTTTGGTTGATGTTGTAGTCCTTTGCCATTGGCCGAATCCTGACCAGTGGCTAGTGTGAATGAACTGTAAGCAATTGTGGTGGAAGTAGTGTTTGCCCGCCCAAATGTTCTCTAGGCAAAGAAGGAAGTTTATTTGTTGACCCTTATCCTACCGGAATTCATAGACTGTCATCCACATGGTAATGGGTTGCTGCCTCAACTGCTGGGCGCATGGGAATTATGTCGGAAAGGCTGTGATGCGTTGTCTTGGCCGAGGTGTCACAACCCTGTTGTCCATAACGGTTTAAGTGTGCACGCTGCTTCAGCGGCGGATGTGCAATCGCAATTACCTACTTCACGTTTTATGACTTTGTAGGTAATAAAAATTCGAATGCCCTTGTTGGCTTGTAACACCCACTTTACTCCCCAAAAGGTCGTAAAGCACCAGGGTGCAGAATGTCCGGACGATTGGTGACCTAAAGATGGCATTAAACAAGGCTGCGTGCAATTTTTCTGTGGAGGTCGTCCATAATCAAAGCTCAAATATCCTCCTGTCAAACGATCCTCGTCTTGCTGTGGGTGTCTTCCCCCCAGCTTTCTGTTTGTTGTATCAATCAAGTTTAGGCAGCCTCGTTAGCGTCCAAATGAGCCAAGAGCCCGAAGAGTTATCTGTGAATGTGTGAAACGATTTAAATTAGGAACGGGTTTATTTGTAATTCACAGAACGGCTAGGGGCTCGATTGCTTAGAAATCCCATGCTCGGGACTGGAAAGGGAAGTGTAGTCGATTTGCTCGGGAGCTAAAGTGCTCGACGTCCTCTCCTTCCATCACTAGGGTGCACGGATGAATGATCAGAGAGCGGACTTTCCCGGCCTCATTCGAACTAACTCGGTGTCGAATCCACCCCACACTGGCCCAGCATCAAATGCAGCCACCACCACCACCATTACGGCACCACAGAGAAACACTTCCTCCGCCGCTGTAGTGGAAACAACACCACTGACCACTAACGGTGGCGGTAGCGATGGTGGCAGTGTTACTCTGGCTGCCCGAATGCGCAGCGCCAGCGACGGACTGGCGGAAGCAGAACAGGCGCCCTCGGCTGCCGACGAATTGGCACCCGGCGATGATTTCTTTGACATGATCTTCCGTCTGCAGGTACGTCTCTCCTCTACTACTGTTTTTGGAGGGTATTTATGCCCTTCTTCCCCTTCCGTTAATTAATGTTGAAGTCTCACTTAACGTATTCGGTTGAAATCGTCTAATCCTGATCTGCTTTTCTTACTGTCATTCCAGCAAAAGACGCGCATCAACGATCAGCGCTCGGTCCTGCCACCAACTCTGCAAACACACAACCACCACCACACTAATTATCGTGATCGCCATCAAGACAGTAACAGCGGTAATAACAACAACAACAACGAGGGCGCGACTGCCACTGGTTGTCATGATGGTGGTGGTGCAACAGCACCGCATCGACTGCTTCGAGTGCTCTCGGTACCTGGTGGAAAGCGACGTCGGCGGGGCGGCGGAGGAACAGGGAGCGGTAGCAGCAGCTCAAAGGCGGCGGTGGCTTGAGCCACTGGTTCTTCCTGGTCATCGATTTTTTCGTCCACTTTGTGTGCATTTGTTGTACATAGTACTGTTTCCCTTGGGGTCTGAGATGATCCATTTGTCTGGTAATCGGACCTCTGCTGCCTCTATCGGTGTCAATCATATCATTGTTCCCTTTTCCTGCGTATACTAAATTCCTGACAGTAAAGTCTGTGATCCTTCGTTTGCGTGTTTGGGGTAAGGATTTGGTCATTGACCGAACGATATGTTCTTGGCGTTGAATGGTCTTCAGCGGAATGTCGAAGGTGGAGTCCATGTCCACTCTTCTGGCAGGTAGGTAATAAGACATCTGGACTATCGTGTGCGTGGTGATAACGATCCTGGCCGTGGTGACCTCCAGTCCACCATCACTTCTGTTAGCGTGTGGATCTTCTGATCTTGGATGACCGAGGCATGGTAGTCAGTTATGAAATCGGAAAGGAAGTGAGTCTTTCGCGAAGAAGTGGGAAAAAACCATTCCCGGGCATGGTGGCGAAGCTTCGTTCTGTTTTGAACTGGCACAAAAGCGTTGAATGTCGTACTGAGGTGAAAAAACATTTTGACAGGTAAATCCAGTATTTCCTGGATCGTGTGCAACAAAACCTGTGTACGCTTTCACTCAGGAGTTGCAATGCACATCAAAGCAGTAGGAGTCTGGACTTACACTACTGATTTTAAAGTGATCAGAGGTATATGGAGGAGGAGGAGAGGAGGCAGTACTTCCCAACTTCTGGTCTTAGGGAGCGGTATGAGGTCCACTCCAGGATTGGTTCCGCGGTGCTATAAAGTATGAGGACTGGTGTTGACTTGTAAGAACAGGACTTTCTTTCGGCTGACTGACTAATCCTGATTGTTTCTAAGGAAGAAATTTTCCTGAAGACGTTCAATTTGTGTTGCCCCTGGCAAGAACTGCACAATTAACGATTCCACCTGAGGTAAATAACACTCATGAAGAGGGACAAGGTGACCTCAGGGTCCTGGAGACTTAAGGTGCCTAAAAATTTTTATCAGGGGTAGTAAGCAGATCATTCTGGACCGTTCATATAAGGTGCAGAGAGCGGAGGGCAACAAAGGGACGGTAGTAAATCCTTTATTGTCTGTCTCTCTGGGTGAAAAGGGCGCAAACGAATTCTTTCATCATCCACTGAGGATTCATGACATGCCATTCTTGAGTCGTCCTGTCAATAGTAAAACGGCTCTTCAAGCTCCAGGAAGGGGGGTAGGCTTTGACCTGATTTTACCTGACATAAAGCCTTCTTAAATGGTGCAGTCTGTTGTGGCAAGCAAGAAAAACTTCCAAGAATTTTCTGCAGCCTTGAAAATGACCCAAAGCCCGTTCACCATCCACCATGTTTAGCCAGCATTCTATGGCACGAGGATTCGAAACAAGAGAAAAAATATGGTGGAGGGAACAATAAAGAGTGCCGACAGTCCAAGGCGAACATTGATGCCCTGGAAATTGCATAAACAAGCGCATTTAACCAGGTCGTATGAACAACTGCACGAGCTTTTTGGCCACGAACCCGTTCAAGATGCTACGAAGTCCAGATGTCTAAAACACCTCCACTGCCACTTTGAAAGATCTCAAAGAACTCCGCACTCTTCACGAGATCTGCTTGTGTTCTGATTCGGCAGTGAAGACCCCTATCTCCGATCATCGACGTTGCAACCAGTAATTCCTAAGATCTCGAATGTCTGGAGAAGTCACATATTGCATCGCCCAGTGGATGTTGATTCTGCATTTCGGCTCCGGAGACCTCCATACCAAACTCGACCGCTCTCTGACATATTACAGGAAATTCACGCATCAGCTGCATGTCCTCTTCCGACCACCAAATGCGGCCTGGGTGGAGGGTCGCGTAGATGGAAGGCCTAAGCCGAGATCAAGATGCTAGGGGAATAACAGATTGCGTCCCAGAGCTGTAATAAAGGTCTACCCAAAAACCTCATCTGATTTATTAACACACTCACTTTTGCTTTCGAATCAAATAAAAAAATGTCTTCTAAAATGGTGACAAATATCGTATCCCACAATCATTAATTTGTTCACAGCATCACAGACCTCAACGTGAAGCTCCAGAACTAAGGCACAGGAAAAAATCCCTGGAACACAAGAACAGGAATTCCATGCCAATCTTCGATTGGTTTAAGGTACCACGATACAAACTAACAATCCACCAAGCACAACAAAGGCCTAGCTCATGATTTCGCAGACCTTCGAGACTGAAATACACGCCACCGGCATGAAATACCATAAATCTCGCGCTTGCTACAACCGGAAAAGTTACTTCCTTAACAACGCTCTCACGGACCGACTGACATAACTAGTCACATTCCTACTTGTCGAGTACCCGTTGAGAGTGTAGATGTGTTTCTAACAGTGCCAATGAATTAACGAAGCGGATAATCGGGATGAAAAAAGGTGTCAACGACAAAAAAAAATAATTACAAAGGGGTTTCGTAGTTTGCGCCACTGTTTATTTTTAATTATACAATGCGCTTGTACCCATATACATGGCTAGGTAGAAAATGGAAAATAAACGAGCAAGGGGAGAAGAACCAGAGAAGTTACGAAGGAAAACACGAGGCAGTAAATTGAACCCCTGTGACAGTTCTGTACACACCATATCAATTTACTCAATGAGTTTCTTTGACTTGAAGTAGCTTCGAAGGTAGAGAACCTGCCAAACTGCGAGCGCGATCAGACAGAGAATGGAGAACATTGAAAAGTACAAGACTCGACTATGTGTGGAGGCTGAAAAGGCAAAAGTAGGCGATAAAGAAAAATCATTGCAAAAAGAGGGGCAAAACTAATCAGTTCTGATAAAGCAAGTCATACCATTGATATCTCGCATGGCATCGGCCCTCTTGTGCATAGCGACGAAATCGCGAACAATAGAGTCAGTAAAATATTCAATCTTCTTGAGTTCAATTTCAACAGGTTTGAGATCTTTGGCCTGTGCAATGGCATCAATGTTCTTGGCCTCATCGCCCTGTTTGATATCGATGAATACCTCGCGTGTATCAACAACACCGCTTGCACCGAGGCAACGGAAGCAAACATCGAACGAATCCTCAACTTCGGAGGAAAAGGTGAACTTCCCACTGGTGGCGTCTGACTTTTGGAAAAACGTATGACCCTTGCTGTCTTTAACCTCAATGGAGACTTTGCTGGTGGGCCCATCGGTGATCGCGTAGGTCCCGACAACAATTTCATCCTTATCCATTTCATCGTGGATACACTTCAAATCTCCACTCTTTATGTCGAAGCTTAGAGCGACAACCGAGCGTAAACCGAACAAGGTTAATGAAAGAGAGAATCCCAAAGCAACAAACCAATTCATGCCACGCAAACAATAAACACGTAGAGATAGGCACTCGAAAAAGGCGCCCTCGTAACAACATACATTGCAAGTCAAGAAAACAGGATTAAGCTAAATGGCAAATTAGCTGATACAAGGCAAGAAAGAATTGTCATTAAACAAAAAAATAGTTCATTTTTGACTCTGAGTCTAGGCAGAGTGCAAGCAAAGCAATCCATCATTTCAAATGCGGTCATAAAGAGGTCACCAAGCAATTCATCGCACATTTATTTGAAAGTATCAGTTAAGCATTTAAATGTTTTATAAGAACCACTTAGAATAGTTAACTAAAGGTCAGGCTTCCCTTTGCTCTTTTTTATTGTGGTAAATGAGCCGTGGAACTGGTGTAGCGTCCCAAGACTTTCCTGAAGGCAAAAGAAGACACAATACTCTGGCAGAATATATATTTAGCGCAGAGAAGGTATCTGGGCTATTGGCGTGGCCCGAAATGCCTGCTCACCCAGCGAGGTACGAGAAGGCTAATTCAAGGTACAAAAGCGGCGCCTCACCAATACCTGGGGATAAACCACTATCGTATTACATTGTCTCTGATGCGTGCATAAAACAAAGTGGAAGTCTGATTTACAAGGTTTGGCTATAAAGTTGTGACACTGCAGCACAATCATCAACGCTCAAAAAAGTCTACATAGCTCAGAGCTCTAGGTAATGTCACCATCTCTGACTCCTTGTTATATTTTTCTTTATGAATATTTCATAAGCTTAAGCATGCAAACATAATCAACTATTAAATCGTGATCATCGCGCAATAAAACAGAAGACTGTGAGGGCTTATTAGTTTTTAGGTGGATTATTTAAAATGAGGACCAAAAATACGAAATGCGCTTTAGGAATATGTGGTTTCTCTGAATTGGTAAAGGGTCGTAGTTGTACGACAGAAGGTATCTTACCAACGTGCAAAAGAGATAAGGTTACTAGCTTAGCTTTGAGATCATGGCAGTAGATAAGGGTACGATCTGTGAAGACTCAAGAGGCAACTCAAGCAAACTCAGGGTTGAACAAGCTGCCCAAGTACCACAATGTCAACCAAGGCAAATGTCCATGATTTCAAATTGCCTAGACGTTTAAAGTTGTAATTGTAAGTAAGTCACACAACCTGTCCTGCATTTCGCAATCTTTGTCAATTTGAAAACTTTTTAGGAGTATAACTACTTTCGGTAAAACAAACCGACTGCCATTCGACATTTCATTCCATTTACATCAATCTCCTAATCCTGCAATTTTTTAGAACAGGTACTTTTAAATGGCAAATGTTACTAAAAATTGGTTGGGAAATAGTATATTATGGAGAATCCGGAATGTTTCTGGAATCGCAGATTGAAGGTGATGTCTAAGACTTCCGATATACCCAGCTCACTGACCAGATGTAACGCTTTTCAGTAATAACTCTTGGTTTTTGTAAAGAGGTAGCTTTGGGTCTCCTCCACTGTACCTTTACTGGGAGGACTGACCTCTTAGCCATGCCAGTAGTTCAAAACCAGCTGAATGTGGAAAACATATATTGCACTGCTATGTTATAGATCATCTAACTCTACTCCCGATAAAGTTGACACCTAAAACCCTAAAATTTTACTTGCAAATCTCCGGTTGTTTGTTTAACAGTCGATTTTGGCAACGAGCCACTTCGTAAAGACCGTTTTACCTAGTCAAATGGGCTAAGCTCCGAGACATGCCATTAGCTTCGTTACCTTCTGTATGTCAAACATGTATGTTCTGCTTATGTGACAAGGCATTTTTCGTCTTCGGAGAATTATTAGGACGCTACAATGCTTCCACAGCTCCCCAGTGCGTCAGCAGTCCATATCCTTCCATGCCAATAATTATGCACTTTTACCCACATGCCTCACTCCAGCGCATATTTGCAAAGGTATTCTATTTGTAGGCCATGATAATGCAAATAATGTATAATACATTGATAAAGAACAAATTATTTTAAATTTTGCATGCTTTTAAATGCATATTTTCTGTTTTTGAAAAATCTTATAAGTTGTGATGACTGTGCATTTAAGCAATGTACGTTTACGTATATAACAGGGACATAAAGACGTGCATGATTCCTAAAGTATGTTTAATATAAGCGAACCTATTTTTATGACTAATTATTATATCAAGACTTTCATTCTCTTGGATTGTTTAATTGCACTAACATAGATTGTAACTTAAGGCCAGTACACTTTCGAATATCCTAAGGAAAGGTGTAGGGTTGTCTTTCTCCTTTAGTTTGATCAAATGACCTCTCGGGCTAACGAGGAGGAAATTTGCTTTCTGCGGACAGTAAGATATCCATTTCAAT